GCTAAGACGTTTAGGAACCATTTTCCTCAGGATCATATTAGCATATTAAAAAGCCTGATGGGGGGCGCCTGGGTGGCTCAGTGGGTTAAGCGCCCAACTCCCTTCCGCTCAGGTCATGGTCTGGCGCTTCGTTGAGTTCCAACCCTGCATCGGGCTCTGTGCTGACAGCTCAGAGCCTGGAGCCTGGTTCGGGTTCTGTGTCTCCCTCTCTCTCTGCCCCTCCACTGCTCACTCTAGGTCTCTCAAAAATAAATAAATGTTGAAAAAGAAATTTTAAAGCATGATGGATTTGCGTGGAAGAATGCTGTTTTTTTGTTTGTTTTTACAAAATCCATCTTTAAGTTGAAAAGAACAAGTTGCTGAGGGAGATTTTGCAACAGAGGCTACAGTGTGCCATCTCCTCCACTCTGCCTAGGAGTGTGAAACCCAGTAAAATCAGGTTGGGGCCTGTTTGAACCTACCAAGGGAGCTGTCGTCGGTATCTGCACCAGCAATGCCAGTAGCAGCATGTTTTAATACCAGGCTTCCAGGTAAAATTGTCAGCTGGCATCTCCGAGCCCTTCGTGAGGCACCAGATACATAGATCTTTATCTAAATTCCTCTCCCTCTGCCCCACCTCCTTGCCCACATCTTCTAGGGTCCACTGCTGGGGGTGATAGAACCGAGGAGGGTCTGGAGGCCCGGGCACAAGGCTTGTCTCTGCCACTTCCTGCATGATCTTGGGCAAATCATTTTATCTCCGTGAGCTCCAGATTTCTCCATCCACAAAGTAGAAATATCAATACAAAGCTCAAAGGATTGTTGGTGAGAATAAAGAAATCACATGCTAAATTAGTGTCCATGAGGGGAATCAGACAACAGCCACTTGATATTTTAACCTACATCAGGCTCAGCACTTCCGTGTGACCCATTATCACCTCCGAGTCAGCCTGGCAACACCGCTGCTTGGAACTGGCCAGCAGGGAGGCACAGGACACCGGACACCTGGTAAAATGGACACTGTGTTCCTGCCATCTGATGGTTATTTATGAAAAGTAGGTCTTACTCTGCATCTGGAAGCCTCTGTGGACAAGGAGGCCAAAAGATGAGCGATACAGTGGGATCCACCCACAAGGTGTGGGGAAGATGGGCCAGGAGTTAAAAGATACAGGGCTCCTGGTTGAGGAGAGTGTAAAATCATTCCACATAGGTTCCAACTCTGGATCCCTCCCTAGTGATCCAAGAACTCAGTGTGGGAAGCAGATGGCTTCCTGAGCAAAGCAGGATCAGAATTTATCAATCCAAACAACAGTAGTTAAACTAGATGTGATATTAAAGTGATATTCAGTTAAAACGTTTCTATGTAGAAAATGAACGCCAATGTTCACAAACTCTAAGTAATGCAATAAGAAATATACAAACTCACATAGAAAGCATTCTTTCTTACCGAAAATGTTAAACCTGAATGTGGTCGTGAGGAAACAGGCTAACCCAGAATGTGGAACAGATTCTGCCCGAGACTCTCTTTTAAAAAGTCTGTGCCATGGAAAGAAAGAAAAGAAAAAAAGCAGAGGGGGGCGCCTGGGTGGCGCAGTCGGTTGGGCGTCCGACTTCAGCCAGGTCACGATCTCGCACTCCGTGAGTTCGAGCCCCGCGTCGGGCTCTGGGCTGATGGCTCGGAGCCTGGAGCCTGTTTCCGATTCTGTGTCTCCCTCTCTCTCTGCCCCTCCCCCGTTCATGCTCTGTCTCTCTGTCCCAAAAATAAATAAAACGTTGAAAAAAAAAATTAAAAAAAAAAAAAAGAAAAAAAGCAGAGGGACTTTGTTCTAATAAAAGATACTAAAAAAATGTCAACATTAGTTACAATATGTGAATCTTGACTGATTAAAAAACCTATACAGAATTTATGCTCTGAAGGGCACCTGGATGGCTCAGTCGGTTAAGTGTCTGACTTCAGCTCAGGTCATGATCACGTGGTTCATGAGTTGAGGCCCAGCTTTGGGCTCTGTGCTGACAGCTCAGAGACAGAAGCCTGCTTCCAATTCTGTGTCTCCCTCTCTTTGCTCATGCTCTGTCTCTCAAAAATGAATAAACAGTAAAAAAATTTTGGAGACACAGAATCAGAAGCACGCTCCAGGGTCTAAGCTGTCAGCACAGAGCCCAAGACAGGACTTGAACTAGCAGAAGACAAGATCATGGCCTGAGCTGAAGTCGAATGCTCAACCCACTGAGCCACCCAGGTACCCCACCCCCGACCAAATTTAAAAAAAAAAATTTATGCTCTGGAGGGGTGCCTGGATGGCTCGGTCAGTTGAGCTTCCGGCTTCAGCTCAGGTCACGATCTCACGGTCTATGAGTTCGAGCCCCGCGTTGGGCTCTGTGCTGACAGCTCAGAGCCTGGAGCCTGCTTCAAATTCTGTGTCTCCCTCTCTCTCTGACCCTCCCCCGTTCATGCTCTGTTTCTCTGTCTCAAAAATAAATAAACATAAAAAAAATAAATTAAAAAAAATTATGCTCTGGAAATAGTTGGGGAAATTTAAAGGTGGAATACATCAAATGTTAATATTTTAGACATAAACCTGATAACATGATTACATACATACAAAATGTCTTTATTATTGAGGGATGTTAAGTTGTAACATAAAAAAAATTAAAAGTGAAGTATCATGATGTTTGCAACTTGTTTTCAAATGGTTTAGCAAAAAAAATTACATATTTATATATAAAATGTTTTATACACACAAGCAAAGAGAGAAGAGAGTAAATAAACGTGGCAAAATATTAGCAGTTATTAATCTAGGTGAAAGGTGTACGAGTGTTCATTGTGCTAATCTTTCAACTTCTCTGTATGTTTGCAAACCTTCCTAATACAAAAGTTGGAGAAATTCTATCTGTATGCTGCTCTTAAAACATTGTATAAAGAGAAGTATCTTTTCATTTCATTTTCAGATGAGTATAATATTGGTTACATTTGTATCCTGTATAATTGTTCCTTTAAAAAACATATTTTGTTTTGCCCTGTTGTCTCTCAATAAGGAGTATTTGATGTGATACATTTATAAGCAACCGATGGCCAAGTTCACTTCAGGAACTGTGCGTGGATTCATTTGTAAACGCTTTAATAAGGAGTTTTATAGCCATGGGTTTCGGGTTTCCCCTGATGTGCCCCTTTGCTGTTCCTCTTGCCGTCCTGTTTCTTCTTGTGGCAAAGGTTGCCTTTAGCTTTTTTCTTGGCCTCTTGTTCTTTCATCCACTGCTTAATAATGTGACTGTGCGGGCTGACGCAGACCCTCCTGCGCCTGATGTGAAGGCTGCCGAGAAGGGAAGAAAAACAAAATCACGGATAGAAAGTGCAAGTAAGTAAAAATTTAGTGACTTCTAGGCAGTTCCCACTTTTAGACACAGTGTACTTTTAGAGACTGAGTACCACCAGGATGAATCTTTACTATACCTCTGCCTGCAGTTCCTCAAACATCAGTATTAAAAAGAGAAGAAGGAATCTAAGGGGGGGAGAGGGGGTGGAAGGGGAGGTGGGGTGGAGAGGAGAGGAGAGGAGGGGAGAGGAGGGGAGGAGGAGGAGGGGGAGGAAAGAAGGAACGAGGGAAAGTAGTAAAAATGATTGTCTTTCCTGACCCCGAGCTTCACCCACCAAAACCAATTCATACCTCACTGCCCATCTCAAACATCTCGGTAAAGTTTTTCTAGATTCTCTCAGCTAAATGCCCTTTTTCCCTTTGAGTCTCTCAGCATTACCTCTCTTCTGGCACTTAACTTATGCTGTCTTTCATTTGACTTTTTGTTTCAAAGCTTCTCCTCGTCCTGTGGTGTTATGCTCCTCGAAGGAGGAATAGTCTGGAACTGTCTTGAAAAGGCCTTGTTCAGTAGGAATTCATAATTAATTATAGAGATGAAGTGAAAATTGTTCCAAATAAGAACAGTCTGGTTTTGTTTCCAACAAAACAATCAACTACAATATTCTAGGCATTTGTTAACATTTTAATAATAATTTTTAAAATGTGCAGATGCAGGAAGGAGGGAGTGTGTTTAGGGAATAGCACATGGCCTGGATAAAGCATGGCAGGTGATGAGAAAGAAGCCTGGAAAGATACATCACAGCAGGTTGATGGAGGCTTTTAAAGGGCATGTTAGAGAATTTAAACTTTATTTGGTAGGCAGTGAAGAGAGAGAGAAGATTTTCAAGAAAGGAAGTGACAAGACTGAACACAGATTTGTCTCATAACAGTATGTGGTAAAGGTCGAAGTAGGAAAAGAATAGACAGAAACCATTTAAAAGGCTACTGCAGGGGCGCCTGGGTGACTGTCAGTTAAGCGGTTAAGCGTCCAACTTCAGCTCAGGTCATACCTCGAAGTTTGTGGGTTCAAGCCCCACATCGGGCTCTGTGCCAACAGCTCAGAGCCTGGAGTCTGCTTCAGATCCTGTGTCTCCCTCTCTCTCTGCCCCTCCTCCACTTGCACTCTGTCTCTGTCTCTCAAAAATAAATAAACATTTTTAAAACATTAAAAAAGAAAGAAAGAAAGGGCTACTGCAGAAGACAAATATGGCCTGAACTGAGTGGTGGCGGTAGAAATAGAACAAGAACACCAAACATGAGAAAACTGGAAAATCAAATAAAAATGACTTATCAACTCATCAAACACTGGAGCATGAGGAAGAGGAAGGGTTTGAAGGTGAGTTTGAAACTCCATTCCCGGAAGCCTGGATTGATGTTGGGGTCAGAAGTTGAAGCTTCTGGGCAGGAGATGAAAAGTTCCCCTTTGAAATGTACTAGCATAAGGTGCTTGTAAGGTGTCTGATAGGCAAAAAAAAAAAAAAAAAAAAAAGTAAGTCTGCATTTAGGAGAGTAATCAGATATAAAGAGATGGTTATGGGGTAGTTGTCTTATAGAGAATATAGTTAAAGTCATGACAGCAGGTACGATAACTAAAGACACAAAAAGAAAACTTTTTGAAGAGAAGAACTTGGGACATACCTATAGTTAGGGATGAAAAAGAGCAAGGGGAGGTAAGAACAACTAAGAAAGAGCATTTAGTATTAAGAGGGGAATCAGAAAAGTTTAGGGCAATGGAGGCCAAAGGAGAAGAGTTTCAGAAAGGAGATGATATGTAACATTTTAATATCCTATAGATCTACACCACATCTGAGATGTTTTCGTTTTCATCTTGACCTTGGGGTGGGAGAACCCTAAAGCAGCATTCACAATTTCTAATAACTGGAAGAATTTGTGACAAAACATTTTGTGACTTTTAACTTGCCATCAGGTGCCATTTAGTTCTTGTTAAATGTCACGGTTCCTGCCGGCTCTACGTACACAACATGCCTGGATCAAGTGAACTCCTGTCGTGTTATTGGGAGAAGAAACAGGGGTTTGAGGGTAGGCTGCCATTTCCCCAGGTGACCCAAGAGGAATCATCCACTAATGTGGGGATGCGAAATGAAGGAGAGTTGGGACAATGTCTGAATGAGCTGAAGTATAATCAAGCCAGCATGTGGGAATATTAATTTGAAAGAAGCGAGGCTTCCCGATAGGAAGACAATACATTCTCTAAGTGTATTACATTGAGAGGTCTTCCAAAGGAAAGCGCCCTCTCCCTGTGGCCAGCTGTTTTCCCTTTGGCTGTGATAGAAGAGAACCTGGCTGTAGCATTCAGTGGAGGAACAAGAAAGAGTCGAAGCTCCCTTATCTTTCCCAAAGGACTAAAACTCTCTCCCTTCTGTGTGGTGTCAGCAAGGACCTGAGCAGACATCCAGTGGAGAAAGGCTCCACGGACAACCAGATAAGCCCGCAGGTTATGCAGGAGGGAACTAGCACTCAATTCCCTTACTCCATGAGGAATGAGGCACTCCCATGAGGGGCACAGGCACTGGGGCTGAAGGGGGCACCAGATGGGGGCAACACAGACAGGGGACCAGGGAAGTGGAGATCCCCAGGAAAACAGGCAGCAGCAGCTACCATGCAAGACGGTTTCCTTCCTTTCTTTCTCTTTAAATTTTTGCTAACATTTATTTTTGAGAGAGAGCAAGCAAGAGAGTGAGTGGGGGAGGAGCAGAGAGAGGGAGGCAGAGGATCCAAAGCAGGCTCCACTCTGAGCACAGAGCCTGATGCGGAGCTTGAACTCACAAACTGTGAGATCATGACCTGAGTCGAAATCAAGAGTTGGCCGCTTAACTGACTAAGCCACCCAGGCACCCCAGGACCCTTTTCAAAGGCCTGCCCAGTTGGGCCTCAAACTCTCAATGTAATACAATGGGAAAAGATCAGCTACCGGAACACAGCTCCCAAATTCGAGATTCTACGATGTTTTCAAATCCCAAAGTTTGAAGACTGCTTACACTGCACTCTGTCCCCTGTGTATTCCATCTCAGGATAAAAAGAGACGAGGCAATCATGCTAGACAAGGAGATGGTCTATTCCACACTCCCTCAGCCACCCCCAACTCCACGGTATTCTGATGGGCACGGCCCCCCCCCCCCCCACCATTGTGTACTCTCTGGTGGAGAGTTTGGGCTCTAAGAAACCATAAAGCTGATCCCCTGGTTCTTTTTCCCAAAAGAGAGTAGCTAGGGACCGGCCAATGGACCGATGGGGTTGGCCCCGCCATAGAGATTAAACCTGTCATTGTTCCCTAAACCTTTTTTCTTTCCCCTTTCCCCCAAGCAGAATAGCCCCTCAACAATCACTTCTGAAAAAATACTCAAGCCTCCCAGACAACTTTAATAACCCCAAGTTTTCCTCCCAACAGATAGTATCTGTGAGCTTCAAAACCTCAGCCCTCTGCCCAAGATAAACAACTTTGCACTGTGTTTATGTTTAGAAACTGCCCGAAGCTCTTTAATGAAGTCACTGTAGAAGGATTTAAACAAACTCCTCTCTCAGAGAACAAAAATTACAATGATCACTTATAGGGTATGAAATAAAGGACCTATTCTAGGCAGAAAAGGAAAAGGAAAGAAATCTAGTGAGTTCACCATAAGCTAATTTATATTAGTTAGTTGTGGTTAATAACAAATGCTTTTTGTGAGTTGTATTGCCAACACTTGCCATGTTTTCTGCATCTAAAATACTATTCTCGAACCTATATATTCAAAATTAAGGGACTACATTTTAGATAAGTAAAGACATGCTCTGTAGTAAAACAATTTGAAAACAAGAGAACTTTTATCTATTTATGTTGAATGTCAGAAAAAAACAACAAAGAAGATCTGTAATTTATGATTTAAAAACACCACCTAGTCAAATTCATCTTATGTGAGATGAGGTCCTAACTAATCTATTTTTCAGTTGTCTTATAGCACAGAGAGACCAATTTACAAACCTGTACTTTAATAAAGTTTTTTTTTTTTTTTTTATGGTTTATTTGTGAGAGACAGAGAGAGCACAAGCGGGGAAGGAGCAGAGAGAGAGAGAGGGAGAGACAGAATCTGAAGCAGGTTCCAGGCTCTGAGCTGTCAGCACAGAGCCCGACCTGGCCCTTGAACCCACAAACCGTGAGATCATGACCTGAGCTGAAGTCTGATGCTTAACCAACTGAGCCACCCAGGCATCCCAACAGTAAGCATTTTTAGATCCAAGATATTGGCTTCATAGTTTCCCTTTAATTAAAATCAAGTGCTTTCTAATTTTTTTTTTTTTTTTTTTTTTTTTTGAGGGTGGGAGAGGGGCAGAGAGAGAGGCAATCCTAGAATCTGAGCTGACAGTACAGAGCCTGACACAGGACTGTTTCCCACAAACCGTGAGATCATGACTTAGCCAAAATCAAGAGTGGGATGCTTAACCCACTGAGCCACCCAGGCACCCCTCTTCCTTTGACTAAGAATCCTGTCTTGGAGCAGTGTTTTTCAAAGTTGGGTAATGGATGGATTCCTCTGAAAGGGAAATAAAAATGTATCTTAAATCTCAGAGAATGGTCTGTAGGACCCAGCTGAATAGAATCTCTGGGGACAGCAGGAGGGCATAGTCTGTTTTGTGTCACTGGTGCATCCCCAGCGCAAGCTGAGGATAGAATGGTGCTTGGTACATAAATGTTAATCAAAAACTATTTGTTGAATTCATTGAATAAATAAAGAAGCTTCTCAGTGACTCAGGAACTCAGGCATAAGCAATGGCCTTATTTGGAGCTAAAAGAAGGGATACCAAATGGCTCATTAGCACCCCCTGCAGCCATAAGTGGAATTTAAACTAGAATTTAAACAATCCATGAAGTTTGGAGAGAGCATTTTATGGTTGGTTGCATCATCACTTTTGAGAGATCTTTGAGGCATGTGGTGTTCCTAATGGAAAGACCTGATTCACAACCCATGTCTGCCATTCTCTAGCTGTACGTCACCCAGGTTAACCATGTAATCGCCTCAGCCACAGCTCTATCCTGTGTGACATGGAGATAATGTACGCCTTCCTCACAGCATTGTTGTCAGAATCCAGATTTGGTTTTAAAGTTTCTATGGAGACATGAAGAACACAGAAATCTAAAATTTTTAATAACTGAGCCAGAGGTAAGGGTGAAAGGGTTCACCATGAGCCAACAGCCCAGAATCAAGAGCAAAGATGAGCATTCATGCTTGATTGCATGTGACAGGTACAGACATCTCTATACTTCTGTTTGTTTTTTCAAGCTTAAAAAAACATTTTTAATCTTTATTTATTTTGGAGAGAGAGAGACAGAGACAGAGTTGAGTGAGTGGTGGAGGAACAGAGAGAGAGGGAGACAGAATCTGAAGCAGGCTCTAGGTTCTGAACTCTCAGCACAGAGCCCAACACGGGGCTCAAACCCACGAACCATGAGTTCGTGACCTGAGCCGAAGCCGGATGCTTTGACTGAGCCACCCAGGTGCCCCATTTTTTCAAGTTTTGTTTAAATTCTAGTTAGTCAGCATACAGTGTAGTACTGGTTTCAGGAGTAGAATTTAGTGATTTCTCACCCAGTGTTATATGTAAGTGCTCATCACAACAGGTGCCCTCCTTAATACCCATCACCCATTTAGCCCATCCCCTACCCAACTCCCTCCACAAACCCTCAGTTTGTTCTCTACAGTTAAGAGTCTCTTATGGTTTGCTTCCCTCTCTTTTTTTTCCTTCCCCTATATTCACCTGTTTTGTTTCTAAAATTCCACCTATGTGTGAAATCATATGGTATTTGTCTTTCTCTGACTTACTTCATTTAGCATACTACATTCTAGCTCCATCCACATTGTTGCAAATGGCAAGATTTCATTCCTTTTGATAGCCAAATATATCCCATTGTATATACGCCACATCTTTATTCATTAGTCGATGGACATAGGGGCTCTTTCCATACTTTAGCAATTGTTCACAGCGCTGCTGTAAACACTGAGGTGCATGTGCCCCTTTGAAGCAGCGGGTGTGCATTCTCTGGATAAATACCGAGTAGTGCAATTGCTGGGTCGTAGGGTACTTCTATTTTTAACTTTCCGAGGAACCTCCACACTGTTTTCCAGAGTGGCTGCACCAGTTTGCATTCCCACCAGCAGTGCAAGAGGGTTCCCCTTTCTCTACATCCTCGCCAACACCTGTTGTTTCCTGTGTTGTTAATTTTAGCTATTCTGACAGGTGTGAGGTGCTACCTCTTTGAACCTTGTATATACCCCTGATGAATTCAGAGAGTAAAAAAGACAGCAACCTGTATACTTGCCTGGAAAAAGCTACAGTTAAAGTCACAAAATAAAACAGAGTCACCTTCTGTTTTTCTTTTTGTTTTGTTCTTTTACCCAGAGTGTGCCTAGTTTTGTTTAGAAAAGTCACGCACATTGTCCAGTGACTGAAGATATTTATCCTGAATCACAGCACTGCAGTAGGGGCAGCGGAGGCCAGTGTGGGGCTCTGAACATGCAGGTACTCAGAGACTGTGTGCTCACTCCAGGGAGCCTGGTGCCGGAAAGGTGGAGTATTTACTCTTCCCCCCCTCGTTTGAACGATCGCTTGTATGTTGCACTCAGGCAAAGCCTTCCCAACCTACTGCTCACTGGCTGAGAAATGATCACTGGACAGTTTTAGACCTCCCTGAGGCAGGGCACTCACATGACAGCAGCCAAGTCACAATCCCCATCAGCTCTCTGAATGCGACATATATTCACTCTCTCCAAAAGCCTTCTGGAAATATGACGTGAAACCTCAGTGCAACAGCTGGAGGCAATGGGAAGTATGGCTAAAAGAAGAAAAGAAAGAAAATGTTACATCTTACAATTCATAGAACAACGGCCTGGACGCCAAAAAACAAATAATCCAATTTAAAAATGGGCAGAAAATAGAAACAGATTTTTCTACAAAGAAGATATCCAGATGGCCAACAGACACATGAGAAGAGGCTCAACATCACTCATCATGGACATGCACATCAAAAATACAATGAGATATCACCTCACACCAATCAGAATGGCTAATATAACAACACAAGAAACAACAAGTGTTGGCAAGGATGTGGAGAAAAAGGAGCCCTCATGCACTGTTGGTTGGAAGACAAACTGGTGCAGCCACTATGGAAAACAATATGGAGGTTCCTCAAAAAGTTAAAAATAGAAATATCTTATGATCCAGTAATCAATCACGCTACTGGGTATTCACCCAAAAAATACAAAAACACTAATTCAAAGGGATACATGCACCTCTATGTTTCTAGCAGCCTTATTTACAATAGCCAAATTATGGAAGCAGCCCAGGTATCCATCAATAGATGAGTGGATAAAGAAGAAGCAGTATATGTATATACAATGGGATATTATTTGGCCATAAAAAGGAATGAAATATTGCCATTTGCAATGACATGGGTAGAGCTACAGAGTACAATGCGAAGTGAAATAAGTCAGTCAGAGAAAGACAAATACCATATGATTTCACTCATATGTGGAATTTAAGAAACAAAACAAATGAGCAAAGGTAAAGAGAGAGAGAGACAGAGACAGAGACAGAGAGAGACAAGCCAAGAAACAGACTCTTGACTATCGAGAACAAACTGATGGTTACCAGAGGGAAGGGAGTGGGGAGACGATGAAATAAGTGATGGGGATTAAGGAGTGCACTTGTTGTGATGAGAAACTGGGTGATGTATGGCATGGCTGGATCACGATATTATACACCTGAAACTAATACAACACTGCATGTTAACTCTGCTGGAATTTAAAAACAAAAAGTAAAGACAACAAACAACAAATAGGCAACGACCTGGTCCTGGCTCTCTTTGTAGATTCCAGAGAAACAGAATGCTAATCCACTCAAGCAAGGCGCACACACTCACTGAGGGCTCTGTGAATGCAGACCTGGGACAGGACATGTCTCTCCCTTTTAGAACTTACACTGTATTTGGGGAAGATAAAACATTAAGTTCACACAAAGACACAAAACAAGTGAAGAGATGAAAAATAGCTCCAGACAACGATGCTAGCAGGGTTGAAGACGGACCTGATTCGAGTTGAAAGAAGTGAGGTTGACAGAGTGTCCCACACAGTTTAGAAGAGAGAGACCACATGGGTCCCTGGAACAGGTTTGAAGTTTCCTACCAGGGAAGGACTTGGATGAATCTTTAAGAATTTGGATAGGTGGAGAAAATGAAGACTTGTCAAGACTAAATAAAGCGCATGGTCAAGAATTCCGAGATAGGAAAGACCAAGATGTATTTAGGGAATGGAGAAAAACAGACCACACTGTTTGAAATGAGTAGCTAGGAAGGTAAGCTATTGGGGATATGGTTCAAAAGATAGACTGAGGTCACACCAATGAGGCCCTGAATGTCAGTCTAAGGAGGTTTATCTTTTATGAAAAGGGGATCATTAAAGGTTTGGGAAAGGAGAAGAGTTTTAGGAAAATCCATCTTGCAGTGATAAGCAAAATGCATTAAGGTGCAGAGTGACTGGAGAAGGAGGTCAAGGTAGGAGGAGCTTACGTGTAAGGAGGGCAACACAAATATGAAAGGGAATCTGATCCCCTACTAAAACGTGGGCTCAGGTCATGATCTGACTTCGGCTCAGGTCATGATCTCACGGTTCGTGCGTTCGAGCCCCGCGTCGAGCTCTGTGCTGACAGCTCAGAGCCTGGAGCCTGTTTCAGATTCTGTGTCTCCCTCTCTCTCTGCCCCTCCCCCACTTGCACTCTGCCTCTCTCTGTCCCAAAAATAAATAAACATTAAAAAAAAAAAGTTAAAACGTGTATCTGCAAACTCCTACATGCCACATGCACACAGTATTCTCCTATGCTTCCCAGTCCACCAAGTGGGCAGTGAATTTTAAAAATATTTTTTAGAAATTACAGCCAACAGTGGGTGCAGGTGGCAGCCTCATGATAACAGAAATTAGCTCCTGAATTAGGTGCTAAAAGAAATGTTTTGACCTCTTCATAGTGTCAGCTCTAAACAATAGAGGCACCTACCCTTAGGATAGGGGAAAATCTCAATATCCATGCTTTGTCCACATGGAAACATCAGGTCCCTCACAACTATGGAGTAGAGGAGCTGAATATGAAGTTAAGAATGTTTATGTGACTCACTTTTTGAGCATCAAAACTTTCCATTATTATTCATTTATTCACCTATTCATTAATTACTCAACAATATTTATTGTGCAGGTAAAATGTTCTAGGCACAATGCCAGTAAGTGGGGGATACAAGAATAAATATAACAGTATGTCCGTGTCCTCAAGAGGCTATAGTAGTGGAGGCACATTTAGAATTAAATGCTTAGGATACAACCCTCTTAGCCCACTATAATTGAACTTATAGAATTCTGTTCTTCCAAAAGGCTCCCACAAGTCATAAAGACAGATGCACAGCTGTTCACTATAGCAAAAAATTAGAGACCATCTAAATGTCTACCAACAAATAAGTAATAGTACATCCAAATGGAATAAAGGATGAGGGGTGTGTGTGTGTGTGTGTGTGTGTGTGTGTGTGTGTGTGTATGCACTAAGATATATGAATATCCACAATTTATTGTTTTATTGTTACGGGAGAAAAGCTAGTTTCAGTATAATAACTATAAATGACCCCATTTTTATAAAAAGAATGTGACACATACACAGAGGAAAAATTATGGAATTATATATGCCCGAATTTATAAGCAAAGACCACTTCCAAAGGGGGGGCAACTTTTTAACTGGCATGCAATATTTGTATTTTTTTAAACCTCCAACGCTATGGAAATCTGAACCAAGTCCTATACAAACACAGAAAGTTAGAGAAATTAACTCTGAATAGGAAAGACAAGGTAGGCATCAGTTTGGACTCAATTCTAAAAGTGGAGTAAAGGGGCGCCTAGGTGGCGCAGTCGGTTAAGCGTCCGAGTTCGGCCAGGTCACCATCTCGCGGTCTGTGAGTTCGAGCCCCGCGTCGGGCTCTGGGCTGATGGCTCAGAGCCTGGAGCCTGTTTCCAGTTCTGTGTCTCCCTCTCTCTCTGCCCCTCCCCCGTTCATGCTCTGTCTCTCTCTGTCCCAAAAATAAATAAAAACGTTGGAAAAAAAAATTAAAAAAAAAAATAAAAGTGGAGTAAAAATTAACCTGATTGAGAAAGGGAGTGGGGCAGTCCAAGTAGAAGGAACTGTGTGCCCAGAGCACTGGGGTAGGAGAGAAAAGAATGTTTTATTGCTTGTATAACTCACAGAGTCCAAGTCCAACACATAGAAGCTGGTGTCTTAGACCAGGGCAAGGATACTCTGGCAAGACTCTCATCAACTATGGTACAAGAACCTCTGTGCTGCCTTCAGATCCTCTCCAGAGCCTTAGGGAAATGCCTTGACCCTAGTCTCATAGCCTTAAGGAGGAGAGCCTCTTTGCTCTGCATCTAGATGCAGTAAAGGGCTTTTCATTTTGTTATGCATATAAGGAGTGTGCATGGAGGCACATCCAAACACCAATAAACCAGACTGACTGGAATAGGAAGATCAAGCATTTATTGAGTGTCCATTCTGTGCCAGGTCCTGAACATTAGAAATGTTGAAATAAACAAGGCAAACTTTCTGCTCTTGCAGTGTTTAATAGTCCAGTGGGAGGCAGGGAGGTCAGCAAATAATCATAACATAGCAAAACAAACGTTAGCAGATTGATGTGTAAAGTGGAATGGGGTTACAAGTGAAAGAAACCAGATTCGAAAGGCCACATATTGTGTGATTCCATTTATATGAAATGTCCAGGATAGGCAAATCCATAGAGACGGGATGTTGTTGCCAGGAGTTGGGGGTTAGAGGGAGTGGGGAGGGACTGTTAACAGGTACATGGTCTTTTTGGGGGGAGACATGAACATGTCGGAATTGGATAGTAGCGATGGTTGTACAATTCTGTGACGATACTAAAAAACCACTGAATTGTAGGCTTTAAAATGGTAAATTTTATGGTATGTGAATTGTTTCCATTTTTAAGCGCTATAGGAGCACAGAACATTGGTTGTCCTTTCATTTATTAAAGTATTTATCTCCTAAAATGAATTGTTTCTTCAGCTACACTATGGTGCCTATTCTCCAAGTCAAACTATTTTAAAATCCCAAAGTTTTGGGTTTATTCGTGTATCCATCCATTCATTCACCGTCTTACTACATAAGAATCACTATGTGAATTCTTATAGAGTAATAGCCAAATACATATACTTGTAAATTCTTATAGACTCAGTCGCTAGCTAAACCCTGGGAGTAGACAGATGAAGAGTTACTAGCTTCAGAAAGCTAACACTCAGACCACTGCTATTAGTTGTGACCCAAGCGACTATATGAAATGGACTTCCAGAAGCATTGTGGGAATTAAGAAATACTGGCAGATCTGTGTGATTAGGAATTTGAGTTATCGGAGTGCTGACATCAATTCAAGGAATAGTTTCAAGCCAGAAAAGCACGTAAATTCAGCAGTAAATTGGATTACATTTCTCATAAATGAAGGTAGGGCAGGCTCACCTGGAGATCATTTAACCTAAATCGGATTAACTATCAAAAGGCAAGAGGCAGGCCAGATTTATTTCATGTTGGCAGATGTGACTGGTGCCCTCCTGAGGCAGATGGAAATATAAAAAGTCAGGAGAGATGGAATCCTGTGAAGAATGCTCAAAAAGTTCGGCCGCGGAGACTGTTAACAGGGTAGTTTGGCCGAGGGCAATGCCAAGATTCTTTTGGAGAACTGCGCCCCCTACAGGTTTTCTCGATCAGCGTCCTGTCAGAGTATTTCCATTTCAAAGAATG